AAAGTAACAACGTACTAAAATTTTTATTAAATTAACTTTCGAAGAATTTTTACCCATGGTTGGAGAGAGAATAATTTGAATTTTCCAAATCAAATCACTTCGGCGCAGAAGCTCGAATATGAAGGAAGTTATAGCCTTAGAAAGAGGGGTGTAAAAATTGTGTTGCAATTGAAGAACGTGAAGGATTTCAGTATTTCAATTGGAGCGATAATTTTTTCTGACTTCTCATAAGTTTTTATCAGGTAATATTGTCAATATTCCGGTCACTGGTTCAGTTTATTTCATCTCCTAGTTTGGTAACCCTTTGGAGTACACGGATATCTTTGAATGCATCTCATTTTTTCGTGTTTGGAAGCAGCGATGAATATCTGTCGTGGATTTTGCTAAAGTTTCATCTTTGATGACTTACGTAGAAATAAATATTGATGGTAAACACTGTCTCTACACAAGTGTCACATACAAGGGGGGTCGGTAGTAAAAATTTCCAAAGAGTAACAACGATAGGTTTGACCCTGCTTCGAAAGCACTTTTGCCACAAGAACGCGCCCGCCAAGTAATCTTGTAGCTGATATTGAGATCTGTTGCCGCGAGCGCACAATTTGATCTCGTCTGGAGCATAGTGCCACCAAACGCGCTGCAGTAAACTCGTCCTACGTCCGCTGCTTAGGTTTTTCCCGTTCTTGCGTCTTCTCGTCCTCTTTCGCGCGGTTTTTGACGGAATTCTCAGCTTTTTTTTTCGCGTTGGCGTACCACTGAGGACCACCACGTTGTTTGTAGTTTGTGCAACCTCCTTAGGGTTCATCGTAATCACTGTCTTTGATACCTTGTCTTTCATTTTCGTTTTTATTTCCTTTAATTGCGCACAATCTTTCAGATTTTGATTCTCTGAGCAGATAACGCTTGGGCTTGATTTTTGTTGGTTTTTGTTTGTTATGGTTGAGTTTTTTTCTTTTCCTCTAATTTGACCTAAATTGATAGGCCGTGCGGCCAGTGTTTTCCTTCTCAACTAACGGCATGTCTTTATAGACGTATTAAATAAATAATAAATAAATAAAAATGATGGACCAACAAATAAAATAGATAAACAATTGACCACAGTACGAACAGTAAAAATAACTTCGAAGCCAGCAGGAACTATTTTGCTATTGATGAGTACTTCGGTGTAGCACACGTTGTATCTTGTCCAGAATCGTTGTATGGATGCAGTTTAGCATGCTCCAGCTAATCCTCCCGAGAGCCATCTGGCGTATGTGAAAGTTTTTACCCTCCCACATATAGCTGGTAGTCCAAAACAACCGACCTCGTACGTATGATGGCTTTATGGCTTGTTTCTTCCTGAGCATCGGTCAACGGAAGTTGAGGAATCGGGGGGGGGGTGGAATGTGTGCATCTGGGAGTATAGGGTCGGGCCGCACATGTATGTACAGTCCAGTGTGGAGGACAACATCAAAAATGTGATCGATGATGTACAAGTATGGCCGAAGGATTTCATAGCAATGTTATTCCGCTCACATGAAATTTTCGCGCTTCGAAGGGGTCCGCATAGTAATTCTCAGCTACCTCAGCGACTTGTCACGACAAGATTGAAAAATCCGAAATTCGCATGTCCTCCCACAGATGTCTTTATCTTCATGAGTCCACAACCTAAGAGATGTGAAGCACAGAGCGGTGTCCCAGAGTCGCTCAGTAAGCGCAGGCGCTTGGGATTGGCTCTCTGGAAGAAAAAACTCTTGAGTAAGAAAAGATCAGAGGATTGCTGAAAGGGTCCAAAATTAAAGGGAGGAATACCACGTTTTCAAAAACTAAACCTGGGCATTCCGATTATTTCTTGCTTCTGTTTAGCCTTCCAGGTTTGATATGGTGGAACACTTTATTGGTCGACGTTTCGAACAAATCGTCGTTTTCAAGACCTAAAAATTGGTTCGAAGCTCTAGTTTGTAGCCTATCCGCTCACACCCCACTAGTACCAAATGTTACGCTTCTCAGTAATCTCAAACCAAGATAAGTTCCAGCTAAAACCAACCTCTTACGGCTCCACCAATACTGGGTCCCGCTCGGTTCCGTGGACAGCTGACGAAAAATGAGACACCCTCACTCAAACGTAGTACGTGCAGTGCGTGATGATCTCACAATTCGCATAAGGGAATGAAAGGCAGGAATTCACTCGTGACGGCCATGCACTCATTTCGGTTGTTCAGCTTTGGATTTCGCACACGGATGTAAAACGCTTCTAGCATTTTTCTAGCACCGACATCATGTTCCTGGGTCAGGATTTTACATTCTATATCAAAGTCATTGCCCGCATGTTTTTCAAACCGGTGCTTGCCAAGCGGAGTGAGAAGGCTTCCACGTCTTTTCCCAGCCAGGTGTTCTTTAACGCGTATACCTAACATCCTGCCTGTTTCCCCAATATACGCTTCGCCACAGGTTGAACATTGAAGTTGGTATACAGTTCCTCTCAATGTGCAATCTCCATGCCTTCCATATGGACACACAATACAGTTTTGTGTAGTGCATGTACGATCGTACAACCTATTGCGGATTAGCAGATGTTTAATATTGCTTTTTGGCACGTTAACTAAAACTACGTCATTAGCTAAATCCGCTCGTGATATGCACTGCCGTATTGCTGCACTAATCCTATCTGATATGAAAGGCAATTGGAGAATCGCCATGTCCTCGCGATTTCTCGCGGTATGCCCTGGCGTGTCTTCGCGGTTTCTCGCGGAATGTCTTCGTGAGCCTGATCCTCCGGGTTGAGTTCCATAGCCATTCGCCTTTGTGATATCAGAAGCTAGCTTTCTCGACTCATCTCGCTCCATTTCGCCTGTACAAACTCCAACAGCTGTTTTGTACATGTTTCGGATAACCGCACTTTTTACAGCGCTGGGGTGTGCAGACCTCGCATGGAGTAAGATGTTCTTTGAACTGCTTTTCCTGTACCACTTCACACTATACGTTCCGTTTGAGACTTTTATCTGCCAGTCTCAGCCGTCAATTCATAAGCATGCAATCGTAAAGCTGGGATTCGCTGACCGACAATCTCCAAACCACTTAGTAGCGAAGAAAGCAATGTGGATGACACCCGTGTTCCCATTTTTGTACTTAACCGCCACCTGAAACCGAGCTGGAGTCGTGAAACGTAAGTCACTGCAGGAACAAGGACCTGCCAGCGGTACTCGGAAACTATCCTCGACGGGCCAATCTTTAAAAATAGTGGTGCGTATTGAGCCATTCTAGAACTCGTTTGAATAGTCCAAATCTCAGAGTTAATTATGACGTATCTGTGTTTCAGATTTGTTGGACTTTGAAGACAAGTACGGCCTCGGAAAGTGTAAAAAACTCGTGCTCCATCATGAATTTTCCTCGTTAATCGATCTAAATTTGTTATTTCTTATGAAATTTTGAATTGTCAACACTGGTTAGAAGAGCTCTTCACAAAAACTCCCAAATCTGCTTTCAGATTGAAAAAAAAAAAAAAAAAAAATTCTTAGCTATTTGCAGAAGCTTAATTAATCATTGATGTGTTCAAATTTCAATAGTAGACAAGCTGCTCCACGGTCAGCGCCTAACAAGGGAGGTCTTTCAGGGCAAAGGTGCGCTTTTTCAAAACGGTTTTGTGCATATTGTAGGGACGCATGTAGGGAACGCAAAACCATGTTTCATTTTCGCTGAAGTTATAGCAGTACCAAAAAAGAAGCATAAGGTACTGTTAAGGGTTCGATCCCCGTGGCGACTAAATTTTGCATTTGGGTTGGCGCCTACGGTTTGGTGCCAAATCGCGCTAAATATCAAAATCAGATGTCAAATTCATCGTCAGGACCATTTTGAAGCCAACAAGTGGCCGCCAAACCTTGATTGCAAAATTTAGTCGCCGCGGGGATTGAACCATCAAGAGTATTACCACTTTTTTGGTACTACTAAAACCGTTCAGCGAAAACGAAACATGGTTTTGTGGTCCATACATGCGTCCCTACAACATGTACTAAACCGTTTCCAAAAAGCGCACCTTGCCCTGAAAGACCTCCCTTGTAAGATCAATCAACACACAACTGGGTAATGAGGTTACAAGGCTTCTGTCAACCAAATGGTGGACGTGTAGATTGAGAAGCATACTCTGCGTAGTACTAAGATTTGTAAGCCTTCTCAAAGGAATAAAGGAAGAGAGATGCTGTCATAGCATATATAATGACTAAATCGTCTTTTTTGCTTCATTTGTTGGTAGGATTCATTGTAATGATTTTTTTCTGGATCACCTTTACTTTTTGGACGACTTATTTGGTGGATGGTGGAATAGCCGGGTTTTTTTTTCTCGGCGAGAGGTTTTCGGAGAGGGTGAAACAACTTTTTCATTTTTCGCCTTGTAAGGAGAGTCGCTTCAAGGACTATGGCCACTGGGGAGGCAGGAGTGTGGTCATACTTGAAAATTTTCCTCGTCGCCTCGCTTGACCCTGCTCCTGGGGGAGCGTGAGCTAGGGAACTAACACTCGGATCGAGCACACTGTAAGCCGCCCCCCCCCCTCCACAGACATACTCTGACGCTTCACCATTTGATTTGTGTTTTCATTTGAATGGGTCCAGGGTTCAGCCAAAACATGGGGAAAGGAAGGGTTATGAAAATGACTGAACTGCAAAATACAAAATGATGTGCGAATTCATAGAAAACGTGACAAATAGAGCTGTTTGCGACAGCTATTGGGGACTTCTTCATAGAAAGAGTTCGATGGAAGTGATCGAACACTTATATAACCCGATTACTGAAACTAACCGTATACCCAATTCACAGTCCAGCCACAGCGTTCCTGCATTTCATGTTCACTTCATGGCATGCACGTCCATGCGTTCAAAAGGGAGCACTTTTTGTTCGCGTTGATACATCGAAAAATTCCTGTTTCAGGCGGACTGCGTAGATCGATTTGGCCCGCTCCATCGATGGCCTTTCTATTGTGTTACACGTTCCGTTGCGGCGCGTTTCGATGATGAGTTAAGTGACATGATCGATGTGTTGCAGAGGCGCATGTGATGAAGGGGCTCTTTTATTTGGCGCTGGTATTCGCTGTAGAATGTTCAACGACAGGGAAAACGATCAAAGTGCCCGATTCCGACCCGACGCTCCAGGTAAGTCGTCATTTTTTCAAGCCACGTTTCCCGGTTTTACTTGACACTTTCAAAGATTTACTTGGATGCACGCCTCTAAGGCGTAAAATTAATGGATATAAGATGATCTCTTCTTTTTGATTTCCTGTTTTCAATTCGGTCACGACTACAGGAGAGGGGAAATTTTCCATTCAAAGTGAGTTAACACGACAAAAAAGGATCAAACCAATCTTATTTTGACTTGTTTTGTTTGTTAACTGCTGTTTTTGGCCGCAGTTCGCCTTGCGAATGTTTCACAAGAATGCTGGGTTGTGAACAAAACTTTCGCCCCAGGACGGGACTAGAACCCGCACCTCTCTGCTTCCGGGCAAGTGCGCTACAAGTTGCCATGGTACGTATGCCATGAGAAGCTGAGTTGGGATGAAATGAAATGAGTTGGGGTGCCCCGGTAGCGTAACTTGTAGTGCAGTTGCCCGGTAAGCAAGAGGTGCGGTGGGTTCGAGTCCCGTCTGGCGGCGAAGGGTTGTTCGCCCCACGTCAGCATACTTGTGAAAATCTTATTTGGTTGAAAATCGCAGTTCGAAGGGGAGGGAGGGCACTCCCCATTGTGCTACTATAGATGTACTTGCAGGATGAGGGTAAATTTTTCATGAGCATAATCGATTTCACTTATACACTACTTCTGATAAAACACCGGTTGTAGTGTGAATACTCCTAAGGCTGCCGATGCATCCAGATCTCTGTGGTTCAAGGAGATGGTCTTGAACTGGGTGTGGATATCCCTTCCTGGTCGCAAGGGTGTAGGAGCCCAGGGTGGACGATAACATGCGATAAATTGCCTAGAATGTGAGTAGGATGTGCCTTCTGTAGAGCATACATCGTCCTTATCAAAAGTGCACTTGAAATGAAGCCTTTACTTATAATATTATCCGAGTGGTTCAAGTCCGAAGGAGAGCTCTCCAGTACTATGGGTAAGATAACAGGGAGTGCCCCCCTAACTGGGGTTTCACCCTTTTTCAGAATACGCCACGCATTATTGGTTTTCGCTTTTTGGCTATGTCGTGCCATTCGGATGGCCAATGAAGTTTGACCAACAGAATGAAAAGTTGAGGAGCACTGTATGCACAAATTTCACTGTATGGATCTACTTGGACCTTCGCTCCTACTCCTTTTTTGATTCCATTCTGACCTGTGTTTCAACTTGGTATAACTCTAGAGCAGTATTTAATGTGGAAGTCTTAAACTAAAAAAAATCCTTGAGTACATTGGGTTATTTTCGAATTTTGATTCGAACGATATTGTGCTTGATGGTGCGTGAAGTATACCCCTCGTATTCTCGACGTTCCGAAGAAGTTAGGAAACTGTCGGGGCTTTATAATATTTCATTAGTGGCTTTATTTACGATTTCTTGACTTTTAATCCTTATGGTTTGCCCTTTGAGGGCGGAAGTGGTATATTTGCAAGTGGTGCTGCTTACTGCGCACGCAGGTCCCGAGATCAAATCCTGGGTCGTGAGTCGGCCGGGTCAACCGTGAGTCCCAAAACGGGTAGATAACGCCGAATTTTTGTACATTATGATCCTTCATGGTTTGCCTCCTTTCTTCGCAACACAACCTCACCTGGTTTTTCCGATATGAGATCTACTTGCAGTAGTATTTATCGCATGAAGACCTATTTTTTGGGACTCGTAAAAGAAGCCCCCGCATTGTCAACCGTCCGCTGGGCTAACCCAGGCAAGGGGCTTGGTTCTATTT